TCACCAAAAAAGCCTCACCTTAAGTCACCTCGATGAATACACATACAGAAACTGGTCTAACTTAAAAACTGATTCTCGCCACAGTAACTGGGACGTATTCTTAAGTCATGTCAGAGAAATATGCCCTGTTTAATGTGTTTCCATGCATTTTCTTGTCAATAAACGTCACTTTTGTGCAAAAAACACTCACTTTTTATGGCAGTTCGACTCAAGGTCACTCGTAGTTCGCGACCCTTGTGACCCTATAGTTTAACTTTGCCTGTTATATTTTGTAATTACCAAGAAATTATATTTTGACAGGAAAAGTAACCCAGGTCCGATGTTTCTTCTTTACTGTGGAATTTAAGGTTTATTATTACCTCATTCATTTATTTCTAAATAAATAATGAACCCAGAACCTCCCAGTCACAATGCAAGCTGATAGATCACTCACCAACTGAGACCTGACTCAATTTCCCATGAATTCTATTTTCTACTAGGTCGCCTTGTAATTGGAAGGTCCTGATTTCAAACCCCAGTGAGTTCATACTGTTGCAGAGTACCGAACTTGGACGAAACAGCTGTTCAGTACTCCCTGGTTTTCAGTGATTCTCTAACTAATATCATTCCGTGGTCAAACATGGAACAAATCAAATCCCTGCAAACTAACCGTGCAAAATAGTCAACCATCGATCCGGAAGACTGGTTGAGTTATTCAGAAGGTGTACAGTTTTTATTCTACGACAAATAGTGAAGCTTACATTTGACGACCAAATATATCTTTAAATTTCTTTTTTCGAATGTAGATCTGCCAACAACTAGGTATCAATTGGTGTATAGTGACTAGCAGTGGAATCCAAGACGCGCATTTCGTCTTATTCAGGACTCCTCATCCCCAGTGAGTAATGGTGTTCCCACCGAGGGTCGGACCCAGTGCTTGTAGTTTCAAACGTCAGAGTGTTATCCACTTGAAACGCGACAGCCACCTCTTATTCAACGGGTCTTATTAATTACTGAATTTAATTTAGATTTTCCCTTTGATTGATTAAACCAAAGTCCTCGTCGAAGCATCTTCACAAGGAGCCAACACGTCAACCTGAGAAACTTTTGGAAACCTTTGAAAACTGAAAAGTACTTTACATTTGTTTCGTTTTAATTTCTAATATCCACCAGGCAACTGTTATAACCACAGCATGGATATACCCTGGAGCATTTAGGCTGTAACGTTAATCTTCGGCCAGCACGATTGAATCCACTGACCAAAGAATTCTAACTTTGACGGACTCTAAATACAGAGCTGCCTCTATCAATTGTTACAACTTCTAGATTAGCAATAAGGAAAATCCATTGGATGACAGTAATCCAAGAACAATGGATGAATATTTGTGTTTGGGTTTATACATTGTTCTTCAGTTAGTATATCTGCATTTCTTCGCGATCTGATTACAAGGAATCAGAGTAGGTCTATACAACACAATGACAGGAGTTAGAAGTCACGGGTTGTTGAGCTCCATAAGTAATGGACAGAATGTTAATATACTCATTCCATTATTCAGAATGGACTCAGTCACTAATCATTCCAATATTTAAGAAAAGGGACGCAAAGCAGTGCGAGAACTACAGAACAATAAGTTTAATCAGCCACCCAAGTAAAGTCATGCTGAAAGTAATATTGAACAGACTCAAAAAGAAAGTAGAGGAAATACTCTCAGAAGAACAGGCCGGATTCAGGCCGGGCAGAAGCACTGCTGAACAAATTTTTAACATAAGGGTACTAAACGAAAAATGTCTACAACACCAAAAAATGCTAGTACACAACTTTATCGATTTTAAGAAGGCCTTTGACCGTGTGTGGCACGAAGGCTTATGGCAAGTCATGAATAACTACAATATAGATAAAAACATAATTGAGGTTATTAAGTCTTTATATAACAAATCTAGTAGTGCAGTATCTCTAAATAATCAAACTGGCGAGTTCTTCAGAACAACTATAGGAGTACGCCAAGGGTGCATTCTCTCACCAGTCCTCTTTAATTTATTCTTCGAACATATTATGACACAAACCCTACATGACTTTACACCGACACTTAGCATAAACGGAAGACCAATTTCCAACCTCAGATTTGCTGATGATATAGCCCTCATTGGGGAAAACATTGATCAAGTTCAGGACCTCACCTCAAGACTTCATGTTGCAACCAAATCTGTGGGCATGGAAATCAGCACAGAAAAAAGCAAAATACTCATTAACGGAGGAAACAACTCAGATAGATGTATCAGACTTGATGGACATGTATTAGAAGAGGTTGAAACTTTCAAATACCTTGGGTCTACCCTAACAAAAGATGGAAGGTCCACTAAGGAAATAAAAATTCGACTAAACCTAGCCTCTGCCACCATGTCCAAGTTAGGGAAAATATGGAAGAGGAACATCAGCGTCTCAGCAAAAATGAAACTCTACTCGTCACTGGTCCTCTCTGTATTTCTATATGGATGTGAGAGCTGGACCCTGAATGCAGAGACAGAAAGAAGAATACAAGCCTTCGAAAACAAAAGCTATAGAAGGATCCTAGGAATAAGTTACCTTGAAAGGAAAACTAATGAATATGTCTTACACCAGGTCCATAGACTGGCAGGAAAACAGGAACCACTCCTTTCAATCGTAAAGAAACGGAAACTACAATGGTTCGGCCACACGGCAAGACATGACACATTGTCCCAAACGATTCTACAAGGCACAGTAGGAGGAGCACGAAAGAGAGGTCGACCGAATAAGAGCTGGCTTGACAACATAAAAGAGTGGACTGAAATGCCCTTGGATACGCTACAGAAAATAGCATTAAACCGAGAAGAATGGCGAAGACTGATAGCGCGAACTGTCATAGCACCCCCACGACGAAAGTCAAGGGACTGATGATGATGATGATTCAGATGTCCGGGTGTTTATTCCTGGTGAGATCATGGATACGAACAACTGGAAAGTATCAAACTAGGACAATATAGCTAGCTATCCAGTACTTTCTGGTTTTCCGTACCCCTTTGAAATATTTTTCACTTCACAAAGTCTATACTGAAGTTTTAATTTTCACAAAACCAATATTTATGATTATTCTGATAGTTTAGAATTCCATAAGTATTTCTGGACATGAGTTTTATCAACTACAGATACTTGTAAGAAATTCTGGTTTGTTATTATTGACCATTGATTTGCACATTTCAGTGGCCCTAATATTTTGTATTGTATAGCATGAACCATTAACGTTTTGGTCGCAATCTTCCAATTCCTTATGAATCTAGTCTAAGTGAACAATGCTGACACTTAAATAAAAATAAGGAATAAATTCACTAAAGATAAACGTTATATTGTGTGGTCTAGACATATTCCTGATTTGACAAGGTGATAATTAAAACGATTCTCATCCCTTCTGAAATAAAATTCTGTGTAAATCCTCTGTTACACTACATATGTTACACTTTTAATAAAAATGTTCAAATACTAACAGTTGCTCGTTAATAAATTTCACTAAGTACCTTAGTGCAATTAATATTTAATTGTGACATATATACTACTGTTAAGAATAAATGAAGCTATCAGAAGAATCGAAAATTTTTCGTCTGATTAAATAAACACGCATAGATAAAGAATGTTTCATTGTGCACAGTTATTTGTTTTACTATTAATACAGAATGCCTTCCAGGTTTCAAAACAAATAAAAGCGAAAATGTAGAACATGAAATGCAGTTTGATGTTACTATGTTCTCTAAGTCAGATGGTTTAAATTGCGAAGCTGTCATAGCCATTCTAGGCGATTAATTTCAGCACTGACCTCATTTTGAATCTACTGTGGGTAAAATTTTATTTTGATAAAATCTCACAGTGTTATACAGTAATATTTACTGATGACCACGTTTCGAGAGCGATTTATTGCCGCTCATAACCATATCAAGGCACTACTCACACAACTTTCCGACTTCGTTTATATAATTCCATTATTTTTCATCTCTTGGCTTGATTGGTAGTGGTACTTTCCATATTTCCTGTATGAGTGATGAGTCATTACTATTGCACGTGTTGGATGTAGATTCGATGAAAAAGTAATCAACCTCTCTCTCCACCTACCTATATTACTTCTTAGAATTTTAACCGTCTTCCACTCTATTGTGTGGTTGTGTGTTAACGCATTCAGTGCAGTACAGAACCCACAATGGAAATATACTTTACAACAATGCAAAAGTTCTATTCTTATATCATTTTGAATCTATTTCATCAGTTCAAAGATTTAACCGAAGCGAAATTGATCTGATGCTCACTAGCGACTGGCCACATTCAGGCAGTTACCTAGGGCTCCAATAGGAAGCCGTGACCAGTAGGGTACAGCCGGTTGAAGGTGAGGCAGTAACTTATCGAAGAAGACATTGCGAAGTGGTTGTGCTATGTCATGAATTGACAGAAGTTAGAATTCCTGGGTTGGCCAGTAGACCCTGAGTTCTGACCCCTGCTGGTGGGTATTGCTGAAAAGTCCCAAAGTAAAGCGAAACAGCTATTCGGTACTTCCAGATGTTTTTCCAATGGTTCGTTAACTGATGCCAGCTCATGATGAAATCCTTCAACCAATCAAACAAAAATCCCTACAAAACCAATACTTGAAGCGAAATAGCTGACTTATCTGAAACTTCACTTAAACATTTACAAATTCATGTATGACGTGCTTTCTTGTAACTTTGACCAAAGAATCGTTTCGAAACATACAGTGGCAGCCTCTTTTATCCGAAGTTTTTAACCAAAACACATTTCCAGAGGGTAACCAATTCTTCAAAAGCCAGCTAAAAAGTAAAATATTCAGTAAACGCTATTAATCACCCAAAGGAATAATTTGTTACGATCACGATATTGCTAATTTCATTTAATTAGATTATTTATGTATATTTTGATTTTATGTAATCGTTATTTTATTTTTTTATGACTGCATAATCAGATTAGACGTTTTCAATCAACTTTTTGACTTTTTTGTCTTTTTCAGGTTACCGAAATCTGTAACTTCCTCGTGATTTTATCGTATCCAGCAAATTTCTTTGTCTATCTAGCCATGTCAAGACAGTTTAAAAATACTTTTTGGACAATATTCTCACAGTTTCGCCGTAAACATGACATGCCGCTGGTGACACAATCAACAACGAAATCACGACGTCCCCATCAAACAATGTGAATGTTTAATGAAGAAAAGATAATAATAATAATGCTGTAACAAAATTTGTTGAGTTGAATATACTAAAAGACACTTTTCTTTTGGTATAAGTTTATAAGTAGAACTAATGCATTTGAACACAAAAGTCAAAATTAAAACAGACGAATCAAATATTTTGCCTAACCTTGTATTTACCGATTACTTATGTTTAGAAACTTTCAAAATGAATGTTATTACTAATTCTTACGGGTAAACATTTAGTAAGTTGTCAACACTTGCATAAGGGATTTACCTCAAAGTCTGTTTGAGAAAGTATTTCGGACTCTGGTGCATAATTTCGTCTGGTGAACACAGCCTTGATTAAAGATCAAGTTAAGGACTTAAGGTCCCAAAAGATCCAAATAACAAAATAATATAGTTTACCAAATACCCCATAATGATTGTGAGGGAAATCACGTAGATCAAACTGACAGTAAATGAGATTATTGGAACATAGAAATTTAGCTAGACCTAAAATAATTGACCCTCCTGAGTTGAATAATCTAGAGAAAAGCTTAGGCATTGCACTGCATTCACGTGCATGTAATCACAAAACAGGGTTGTAAAGGATGAGAGTATTCAAAGGTAATACAGTAAGTTGAAGAGAGATTAATCACTGAATTTTTTTAATTAATGATACACCATGGAATGACGCAACGCCTATAGCGGAGATACGGAAAGTGACAGCAAAGAAAGATGGAGACAGAGAAAAGATATATGCAAGGCATTTTGTAAAATTGTGGGACTAAATTGATATGATTATGGGCAATAAATATGCTCAAAGCGTCAAGCAATTGTTAATACTGAATCACTGCGTGATTTCGAAATAAGCTTATCTAATATGGAACTACATTCTATCACAGTGCCCAAATCCTGCACTTACATTCGTAATTAACTTTTTCTGATTCGTGTATAAAACAATAAACACGTTGAAGTGAAAGGCGATACCAAGAATAAGAAAATAGTATGCCTTTCAGTAAATAGTGTTTAAGGTAAACATCTGCTCTAAAAACACAATCCTAACGTAGATCAAACTCGAAATTTGGATACGTTAAGTGGATAACACATTCATGATAATCAGAAACGGCCTAGATAACAATCAAAACTTATTCAACAATAACTTAATCGATATCAGATTGATTAAAGAAGGGGAATACGAGGATAAAATTCTATATTTAAACATCTTTGTCAAGTGAACAACTACATGAAAATAAGAAACTAGAGTACACAGGAAATTAACTCACACAGATCGAAAATTCAATTACAACAGCAAAAATCCATTAAGCATACAAAAAGAGTAGCATACAAAATTATTCAAAAGAGCCTGGAATCACTGCAGCACTCCTGACTTGAGGAGAATGGAATAAAAAGTATCCTATGGCCGACTTCCAAAATATTGATATCTAAAAAAATTCGTCAAAAGACACCTACTGGCAACCCCGCCAACTAAATCAAAAGTTACAGGATTTCATCATGAGCTGACATTAGTTAGAGAACCATTGGAAAACCAACTGGAAGTACCGGACAACTGTTTCGCCATGCTTTGGGACTTTCCAACAGTATGCACCCACTGCCAGGGGTCGAACTCAGGACCTTCTGGCTACAAGGCGTGCTCGTATACCATTAAGCCACTGGGACCTGATCCAATGGCCGATGAATTTTAACTTCTGCCAATTCACGACATAGCGCGACCACTAGCTAATGTCGTCGGCGAGTATTTGTCATCACACCCAACCTGCTGCACCCTACTGGTCACGACTTCTCACTAGAACCCCAGGTAACTACCTACCTGAATAGGGCCAGTCGCCAGTGAGCATCTCATTGATATTCAAGTGTTGGTTTGTAGGGATTTGATTGGTTACAGGATTTCATCATGAGCTGATATTAGTTAGAGAACCATTTGAAAACCTGGGAGTACTGGGCAGCTGTTTCGTCCCAGTCTAGGACTCTTCATCGGTACACTCCCACTGGGATTCGAACTCATGATGAAATCCTGTAACCAATCAAATCTCTACAAACCAACACTTGTAAATCAAAAGTGTCCAATGAAAGCAAAGAGAAAATTGTTCCACGATATATGAAGAACATTTTCGAAATCACTGCAAGACCATTCTTACCTTCTGGAATTGGTGTAGCTCGCAAACGAACCAAATCAATTCAATCGGTTCTGTGTCATAGAAAGGAATTAACAACGAAAGAAGACAAAAGAAATATCGTCTGCAAGATAAATTGCAACGACTGTGAAAGTGTTAGATTATTCAAAGTGGACGCCGTCTTCCTCTCCACAAACATAAATTGGCTGTCAAAATACACGATATCCACTCCTTCATTTCAATGCATTCAGACCATTACTTACACCGATTCGATTGGAACAATGTTCAAATCGTATACAGAGGAAACATCAAAAACTCCAGAGAATTTCTAGAAACTTGGTATTCAAGTGAATCGGCAGTCAACAGGTGCACTGACATAGACAAGATTTACCGGTCTACAAAAAGGAAGTCAAATCGACAAAATGTCGACTTTCAGTTCATGGAAACAATAAGTAGAAGTAGACTAGGGAGTGAAAAAACTTACAAAAACAACTAATCATGTTCAGGTTGCCAGGAGAGACGACTAACAAACTTGTGAAGAAATTTAAAAGCTCAATTCATACTAAAGTATGCTGTGAGGACGTTACCTAGTGAGACAATAAAAGCTCTGCAACTAAGCCATCCAGCTCAGAGAACACAACTGCGCCAAATTTTTCTCAATGTATATTACCTGAACATTCTGTATTCTCCGGTTGCAGGTTGTATAGTTGCAGGAACATACAATGAGATTCCAAGATGACTTAAAATGGATGTTTAACATGAAAATATAGAATTATCATTGCTGAAAAGTTTAAGTTTTAACATTAAATAAGGAAAGCTTACATTTCTTCCTTAGTAGAATTGATAGATCTATCAAATTTACATGACCAGAGAAGCAGGAAGTTGAAAATTGAGACTGCTTTTTTGATTAATTTCCATCTTAAGACAGACTGAGACAAGCTGAAAATGCCTGTGTGTCTCACATCATCAAAGAGATGGATTACTGTGTTATCTATAATTACATATATTGACATAAGTCATTGTAAACATCGAAGACTTACAAGCGAAAACCGACAAACTGGTCGAAGAAGCAGCAGAGACAGGACTCCAGGTGAACATAGACAAGACGGAGGTTATGAAAATAACCAACCAACAACAACAACAGCAGCAGCAGCAACATCCAGCGCCAATCACCATCAACGGGAGGGATTTGAAAGAGGTTACTTCATTCACTTATCTAGGGAGCATTGTCTCAACTACAGGAGGAACGGACGAGGATGTCAAATCGAGAATCGGGAAGGTGAGAAACACATTCATCAACCTGAAACCAATCTGGAAATCTTCCGCTGTCACTCAGCATCAACAACAAAATTCGGATTTTCAATACAAACGTCAAGTCAGTTCTTCTATACGGATCAGAAACTTGGCGGGTCACAAAGAATATTTCCAACAGCCTGTTGCAGACCTTTATCAACAGCTGTCTTCGCTCTATACTGAAGATCAGATGGCCGGAAAGAATCACCAACAAGAAACTATGGGAACAAACGAAACAAGAACCAATCGCCCAACAAATATGCAGGAGGAAGTGGAGATGGATTGGACACTTGCTGAGCTGAGGAGGCCGCTGGGTGACATCGCGCGTCAGGCCATAGCTCGAGTGGAACCCGAAATGGAAGCGACGAGTGGGACGTCCAAGGGTGAAATGGAGGAGATCGTGTGAAGAGGAGTTGAAACAGTATGGACCAACATGGATGCAGGTGAAAAGTACAGCAGAAGACAGAAACAAATGGAGACGTGCAGTTGAAGCCCTATGTTCCACTAGGAACCCAAGGCAACAATAATAATTGTAAACATTATTTGATTTATAGCAGTAGTTTAAAGTATGCCTGGAAAGATGTCCTAAAAACTGATATCTTATTTCATTTGTGGTGACTATCCTTCTGTGTAGTGTCTTAAAAGAGTAACAAATGTCTATACGCTTAAAGATATTATTTAAACATCTTTTCTGCTACCTATCATCTTCATATAAATGTGCTGCCAGAACAGCTTTCAGCAATCTCTTCTGGTAAAAGGAGTGAGACTCACATTAAAAGGGCAAGTGCGTATAACGAGGACGCCAACAAAATATCAAAAATACTTTGACAGAGATGTGTGTGCATAATCTCCCTAATAGACAGTATGACTTATAATAACCGTAAGATTCCGAACATCTAACAAGTTCCCAACGTCATCAGTTATTTGAATGATTTCATTATGTAATGTCTATCAGAGAGATAAAAACTAAGGTAGACAATTTTCATAGAGATTAGAAAATTTAATAAATGTGAAGCATACAGAAAAATTTTCAACTCTGACTAAGCACGTGAACAGTCATCTAAAATTGCTAAAGGTTTTGTAGCAGCTAATGTTTTCTTTATCTTTTTCATATTTACGACAGTAGGGAATAAGTGTAGGGAGTGTCAAGCCTCTAGCCCATCGGATACGTCTATTTGCCTTCTGGTCTATTATGGAATATGTGTAAACATTCAGGAAACAGATCTCACTGCCTTGGTCTATTCATTTACCTACATAAATGAAGTTGGATGGACAGATAAGGTTTAAAGCGTTGGAAAGCGCACTAGCTAGTTAATCATCTGAAAAGATGGAGACAAGCACATTTATAAATTCTCCCGGAATTCCATAAACTCCTGTGAACGCATGATCCACAAAAGTGACGTTTTCACTGGAATACCTACGAAATTTTAACCATCAATGGAAGCTGTAGAAATTTATCCATTAACACATATCAGATCATTTGATCTGATGTTGAGAAGTCGACAGTATATTTAAACAGGGAAAGGACATATTATGCAGGATAAAATGAAGTCGTTATATTTTGTTGGTTTTTCTGAGTTGCGCATAAATATGAACAATTTAATATACGAAGTTTTCAAATACTTTAGTTATTGATCGTAAAGGTGATGGATATTAATATCACGTGATTAGTAATACAATG